CCCACAGAGAAGGCCCTCCCCCTGGGGGTCGCCAGCCTACATTGCTTGGCCGACGGCACCCTGAGGAGGCCCACTCTGTGGGAGCGTACCGGTCTGTGGGAGGGAATCTGTGGCAGAAGGCGGTCTCGGAGGTAACCAGGTCCAATGCCATGGAGCGCTTTAAAGGTGGTAACTAACACCTTAAAGCGCACCCGGAAGAGAAGTCGGAGTCGGGGAGTCGGAGTCGGAAGTACAAAAAACTGAGGAGTCGGAGTCAGAACATTTATCTACCGACTCCACAGCCCTGGCAAAAACGAACATTTCCTACCGGTGGCCCATGTCAAAAGCCTCCTCGGGAATCCTGTAACACGTGGCCCAACACGAAACTTCAGTAATACCATAAATATTAAAGAGTTGAGTTTTGTTTTCTTTTTCTTTCCAGCTTCTCAACATGCTTAGTGCAGGGCAGGCTTCGCCACCAAGAGCTAAGATTCGCAGGGAAGTATCCGCAGTCAATACGGTTGATTTAATATGCTCAACTCCAAATCTTTTCAAAAGGGTTGGTGTAGCCTGAAGAAAGCAAGGTTCAAGGTTAGTCCAGGTAGTCCTCGCGTTACAACCGTTTGTTTAGTGTCTTTTCAAAATTACAACGGCACTGAAAAAAAGTGACTTCTGACCATTTTATTGTGAGCGTGTTTGATCACGCTTACATCCACTGCAGCTTCCCCATGGCCACGTGATCAAAATTCGGATGCTTGGCAACTGGTTCATACTTATGACCGTTGCGGTGTCCTGGGGTCATGTGATCCCCTTTTGCAGCCTTCTGATAAGCAAAGTCAATGGGGAAGCCAGATTCACTTAACAACCGGGTTACTAATTTAACAATTGCAGTGATTCACTTAATAACTGTGGCAATAAAGGTCAAAAAATGGGGCAAAATTCACTTAAAGACTTTGGGCTAATCTGCAATATAAATGGCCTTGTGAATATTCCTCCTTACTCAAGCAAACAAGACCAGTAGATAGCTTAATTAACTCTCCAAATAACGCTGTATTCAAGTATAAGTTT